AATGGTGATTTTTACATAATTTGGCAAAATTACTTTAAGCTTTTATTACTACTAAAATTTTATATTCTAGTGTAACTAAAAATTATTTGATACTTAACAGACTTAATAAAAATAAATTGGTTTCCTAAACCTCCTGTTTCAGTATTCACGCAATAGAAAAAAAAAATCAGTTTTTCCAATAACAAAATGAAGCATCAACAAAACTATAGTCTTTTCCCCGAATAACAATGGGATTTTTTTTTAACTCTTTCCGCCCTGTGTGCTCTAAGAGGGCCTCTTTTTGCAAGCCCATTATGGGTTCAGCCAGGCCCACAATGGGACTGCCGGGTGGTGAGAGACGGGGCCCGACATATCCAAACGGACCATCCCCAAAAAATTCCTGGGGATTTTTCGGCTTATTTGGATTCGAACCCAGGTCCCCCAGAGCGGTAGGCTGCCACCTTGACTGCTCGACCATCCGGCCAAATAAGAATGGGGTTGGTATTAATTAGTCTACAGTTCTAATAAGCAAAAGAAAATAGTTTCAAGTTCATTACAACATAGTAGAATATGGTATATATATAATACACATTAAAAAATTATAAGATATGAAACTGTTACAATGTATTTGAATTTCCAACATTTTTGCAAGTAATTCGAGATTATAAAAAAAAATTGAAAAATGTAAAATCTTAAGATGCATTGTATTTTCAAAGTTTTCGTTCTATCTTTGGTATTTAGCAATGATGGTAGAATGATACTTATCCAAGATCTAGCATTGACTTCATTCTTATTCTGGGAAATATTACAGTCAGCTTTATGATGATAATTGTCTCATATATTTTATCATGTAGTTTTATTTATAATATAGCAATATCAAAATTAAAAATTCTATTTTCCTCATTCCTAGCACAAGAAAATAAATCTAGTTCGATTTTAAACAACATGTAACAAAAGCTTAAAATTTACTAACGTTTTTAGGAAGTGAGTGAACCCTTTATCTAGCTCTCTTGAACTTCACTAGTGGTGTGACCCAAGGAATCTTTTTTTTGAAGAGAAATGACTAAACACTTTTAATAGTTTTTTCATCCTTTTTTGTATGTGAAATATTTATTAAACTTACAGAATTTTAAATTATCTATGAATGTTACCAATGAAATCATTAACTGTGTTCATGATGCTTTCACATAAGTATTTTGTTATGAAGTCTATCAGAAAGTTGACAAACATGACTGACACCAATACCACAGTAACAATTAAAAAATAAAGAAACAAATCCTTTCTTAATTGTTTTCTTCTTTTGGAATTCTTCAATGTTCAATTTCATTGCCTTCAATAGAATGTAACTTGCTATCCATAAATAATCAGCAGTTGGGTATAATAATCAGTTATTTAGACGAACAATATTTTTAATCAATTTATAATTGATAATAGAATAAATATATTATTACATTTTAGCTAATACAGACAACATTGGAACTATTTCACAAAACATACACCAAAACTGCTTAGTTCAGGGCACTAAATACTTTTTATTAGTATAAATGTTTTCAATCTCATTTCAGATCATTATCTGCTTGCATAGCTCTACATTTGAAAAAAGAATGGCAGTTGCAAATGTGTAGTAATGTTACAGATGAAACCTAAGTAAATCTAATACAGCTTCATATCTAAATTGTGAAAAACAGTTGAAATATTCTTCATTGTTTTTCTCTCCACATACTTGGCTGAAAGTGAATTTAGCAGTTGTTTCCTTAATGAAAACCAGAAATAAACTGGATTTTGCAGCAAGAGATATTTGGCCTTTCAGTGTCTAAATTGGAACCAAAGATAAGAAAACTTAAGAAAGATGATCATCAAATCTAAGGTTCACATTAAAAAATGCAGAAATAAAATATCTTTAATTTATTTTATAAACCTTATTTATCTCTAATCTGTTTGCTTTGTTGTTTGATCAGTTTATTATTATTTACTGACTAAACTTCATTAATCTTCTTATCTCATTTCTTTTGAATTTCTTGCTTTTTATTGTAAACATTTAATATTTTAACTTTATCTTTTTTTTTTTTTTTACCCAATGTTTAATATTATCTTTATTTTCTCTAAATTACTCTTGTATAATTGAAAATATGTAAGCCTTGATCATTGTTTATTTTTTTCAATTTCATCTATAAATCACTAGAAAATCAGAAAATGTGTCCATATGTGATAGGTATTGATGAGAGAGAGATTTTTGGAGAATGTATATTAGTTTAAAGAAATCACAACATGGTAACAGAAAAAATGAGCTTTTCTCAGTATTCTCAGCTCCCATACAGTTGAAAAAAGGAGAACAGTATATAACATACAAATACAAGAGTACATTTTAGTTTTTATTTGGATCCCTGAATGAAGCAGTTTTGGCATTTATCTGTATTATATTTTATTTTCAAAATGGCTTCAGTTAAAATTTTTAGGTACCAATAAATCAGAACTGAATTTTTGAGTAGGCTATAATAAATGAAAAGAGAAATTTACAAAACAATTCCAACCAATCTAAAATGTAATATTTCAAAATCAAACCTCCAAAACTTAATGAAAGTACATATTCTTAATTAATTAATTAGGGTCAAACCATCAGCTTTGATCACTTAGTTTCAATCTTCTTATATTAAATTATTATTAAGAATTATAAAAAATTAGTTATTCGGTTTTATTTTTTCATTTATTATTTATTATGGCAAGAAATGATCATCTGTACTGGCCATCAGAGGTGTTTACATGACCGTAACTAAATACAATAAGCTTTTGTAAGTTTCTTTGATATTTATCTCAAAATAACAGCTATGGTGTTACAACAATCACATACCATACCCTATAAACTGATTAGAAATAATAATTTACAATGCATTTGAAAAAAGTGTTAATGAGACAAAATCTACTACAAGTGGCAAAAACTAGTACCTTTATCTTTTATGGGATAATTGATGTTTTATTACATGTTATGTTTTTAATAACTTGAATGCCAGAAGGAAACTCACATATTTTCATATCAAAAAAGGAAGAAAGAAAAAAAAAGAAACAAATATATTTATCTCCAATGTTTTGTAATAAATTTGAATCAAAATAATTATAATTTCAAACTTTTAATGTTACTGTAATTTGTTTATATTCATTTAAATACAAAAATTTTTAAATAATTTAATATTTCTATTAGCTTTTAATTGCTTTAATATACATTCAACATTACTTTTTCAAAAAATATATTTTTATTTTATTTTATTGTGGAGAACTAATCTACTGTATATTTTACATAACAACGTAAATATAATTCCATCACAATGCAAAACTTATATAAAAATATAGTTATTACAAAATAATAATGCAATTAATCAAAATTCAAATGAACAGGAAGTAACATAAAAAGTATATTATTACATATTTTCCTTTTAACATATACTTGTTAAAGTAAACTACTATATTCATGGACAGTCACTAACAGGAAAAACAAATTTAAAAATTTGTTTTTTGTAATACTGGATACTATTTATATACTGCAGATAAGTTTCTGTTTATAATAAACACAGATTATAAATGAATTAATAAGAAAACAACTGTCTATCAGTATTAGCTTCTTTTATTAGAAAAAAAATCTCCTAGTACTTTCATTATCACCATCTTCAGGCTAACTCAATTGAATGTCAAACACACAGGTGGCACTTTTTTATGCAGCACTTTACAGTGAACAATCTGAAACCCATTTTTTTTCTAAATGGCCAACGCTGCTCATGACATCATTTCGTTACACTCTTGCTGCATAAATAAATGCAGCCATACTGCCACAAACCTTTGTTTTTTTGAAACAATTCTAGAATGGAATACAAAAATTTGAAATATAATTGTTTTCAGGTTCATTCATTAGTAAATTTAAAGCTTAAATACTTTAAATTAACTATAAAATATCTACAGCAAACGGAATATGACCGAAACACAGATAATCAAACAAAAAATACAAAAAATATTAACTTATAATCTATTTTATTATTTTGTTTAATTATTTGGATCTTTTTAATAATTATCTTCATTAAGCTCATGCTTCTTTAGTAATGTTACCATCATTCATTTCCACTTCTACAACTAACAAGTTCTAACTAAAATACAGAATAAGAGGAATTTAGCAATTTAATTTTTCAAGCGGTCGGACGAACGAGACATTAAATACACCCGGTCATTCCGGGTGTATTTAATGTCTCGTTCGTCCCCACCTGTCATTCCGGGACGGCTCGAACTTTTTTCATCCTATTGCAGCCCAACCAAACCCAGGATAAACAAAGGGGCCTTTTTAGTAATCGTAGAAAGTAAAGTATTTAAATGTCACATCAAAAATTATTAAATGGAAATTCATCATTTAATATTTTGTCATATTTAAAGGATGTGGAAACACCCATAAACTTCCCTATCGAAATTAACCAGGACAGGATTCTATTATGCAGAAGTTTGCTCCAGAAACAATTTCTTGAGATAAATTAACGACGTGTCCTTATAAAATTTATCAAATCAATAAATATTTATTGTTTCGAATTAAAACTCACTTCTAAATAATACGATTATTTTTTGGTATTTTTTTTCTAATTTATAATTAAAAACAACCGCCCACGTTTATATTAAGAAAAATACGCAATTATATACTCCAATAAACAGCGTAACATTGAACAAATTTAAAGTTTTGACAAGAGTAAACAGTTTACGAGTTCACTCGATCATTATTTACTTAAATTCCCTTTAAATGTATTTAAGTCACGTGTATTTTAATATGTAAATTTCATTCTGTTGCCAATTTGCACGTTCTTTCGCACTCAAAACATTACCACTTCATTACGTCAATTCAATTTTTGAACGATTATAACAAAATTAAATATATTTAACGACGTCCGATCAAATTAACAGTTTTCTATAACCGAATAAATACGTTCAAACATTAAATATTTAACATTCTATACAATAACTTTAGTTACTATATTTAAAGAGCTAATATGACTTACTTGACCCGCCGCCATCTTAAGTGTTAGCAACATCCGGGGATGAAGCGCCACGTGACTTCAAATATGAAAAATTCGTCGATTTAATTTTTTTTTATGTAGAAAAGATCGATGACATTTTAATTATAGTTAATAATTAATAATTTATTTTAAATTTAAATTGTGTATATAATAATTAAATTCGTTTAAAATCTTTTGTGAATGAAATATACACAAATATTTCAGTTTTCATTCAGAATTTCGAATTTGTATTTATGTTTTATTTAAAATATTTGGCAACACTGCTTCTGAACTGTAGGTGACGTAGCATCAGAGTCAATAGATATAGCTATAATGCTACGATAGTGGCGTAATAAATATTTCTGCCACTTCGAGCGCTGCAATCGCTTCACGGCAAAAGTTTGGTTCGAGCATAGGGATAGTCAGCTGTAAAACATTCGAAATTCTTTTTAAAAATGAAATTTTCTCGTTTTTAACTGGGAAGATATTGCTTTTGTCTTTTTTAAAAGGACTGCTTATAAATACTATTTTAAGCCTGTATATTCATTATTAATATGGGATGTTTACGGGATTCCCGAGAACTCAATCTGGAAGAAAAGGGGTAGATGAAAATTATATACATTTAATTATGGAAATGTATAGAAATGCTAAACCACATGTTAAGATGGAATACATTTAAAGTGTTACAAAAAAAGAGATTTAGGATATAGGGTGACTTTGGAGTTTACCAAGGCTAAACGCATATCTTTTTATTTATTTATTAATGTTAGGTGAATTATTGTAGTTTGCAGTGAGAAAAGAGCTATGATGTTATTCAAAATTTATATTGTGTTTATTAATAATGAGATAGAGAGATTAAAGTTGAACCAAAAAAGTTAGGAACAGGTTAGAGAAGTGGATTAAATGTCAATAGATTTAGTTCTTGGATTTCAGATATAGGCTGTTAGCAGAGCCGTTACTAGGGTATGGCCAATGTGGCCCATGCCACAGGCGCCGATTTAATAAAGGTGCCAACGAGAAGGTTTCGGAATATGTATTCGAAATTAATAACTTTTATCTTTATATTTATATAGTATTTATGATCTGTAATTTCTACTAACATATTTCAAAAATTGTACAGTCTACATTAGAGAGGTTGAGGCGCACGTTTTAAACGTGTACACGTGAACNTATCTTTTTATTTATTTATTAATGTTAGGTGAATTATTGTAGTTTGCAGTGAGAAAAGAGCTATGATGTTATTCAAAATTTATATTGTGTTTATTAATAATGAGATAGAGAGATTAAAGTTGAACCAAAAAAGTTAGGAACAGGTTAGAGAAGTGGATTAAATGTCAATAGATTTAGTTCTTGGATTTCAGATATAGGCTGTTAGCAGAGCCGTTACTAGGGTATGGCCAATGTGGCCCATGCCACAGGCGCCGATTTAATAAAGGTGCCAACGAGAAGGTTTCGGAATATGTATTCGAAATTAATAACTTTTATCTTTATATTTATATAGTATTTATGATCTGTAATTTCTACGAACATGTATTTCAAAAATTGTGCAGTTTACATTGTTTACCTGGAGAATAGCTGGTATAAGCTTTCCTGGATTCTCATGTATACGCCTCAGGGTAATATTGGTTTAAAGCGATAGGAAAGCTAACTTACAGCATCTATTCAAATATAACACAAAACTTTCGATTTTTATGCTATTAAAAATGCGGAGGGACCAAAAAAAAGCTATGGGAAAAATTTACTAAATAAAAAACAAAAAAACAAGTTGATGTCATAAAAAACATCCAATAGCTTTAAAAAAAAACTTTACCCACGTCAAACAGAAGTTTAGAACGATTTTGTTAATTTGGTAATAAAAATCTCTCGTAAAAAACAATAGCGCAATTAATTAGCTAATTATTAAGTCGTTATCAAAAAATTTTGCGGCAAAAATAATTAATGAAATTTGCATAAATGACTACTTCCATTGTAGGTTAGGAGGGGATGGCTCATTTCTTCTGCTTCGGTGGAATAAGTGAGAGGGAGTGCATTGTATGAACATATTAGAATCTTAGCCTTTTATAAATGTTATTGTTTAGTGAGGTTTTTTTTGTCAAATTTAGTATAATAAAAAATATTATTTTTAAAAATTGCTATAATAAACTGAAATGTGTACAAAAAAGAAAAAATCTGGCTGGGAAAATATAAAACAAGAATTTGATGCAAAAATAATTGATTTTAATAATCCATCTTCTTGGGATTTATCTTCAGAAAAGTTTAGAAATTTACTTATACTACACGGCCCCGAACATAAAGACATTGAAGTGTACCCAAGTACAAGTGACGGTCGTATTTTTAAGAAAAACTGGATGTATAAAAAATTATCAAATGGTAAAAAACAATACAGGAAGTGGTTGTTTTATTCTGAAGTTAAAAAAATCTTTATTTTGTTTTCCGTGCATATTATTTTGCAAAAATTCAGTTTCTTTATTTAGTAACCGAGAAATTGGATTTTCTAAATGGAAACAATTAATGAAAGAACAAAAGGCAAAGTATCGTATTTAAGTCCAAATGGATAAGTTAAAAAATGACGGTTTAGATTTTAAAAACATAAGAGGACAAGGGTACGATAACGGAGCAAACATGGTCGGAATATATAATGGTGTTAAGACACGGAAATGTACATGGATCCCCGAAAGGACAAAACGTACGAAAATATATGCAAATACAAAGTTTATTTATGACCAAAATTAAAATCAACGCAGGCTCTCACCTATTTGCGTGGTATCAGTACAATAAACAATTCGGATCCCAACTCTGGACCTCACACATGTGCAGTAAGGGAACAAAGGCTTTATACACGTGGTGTCTCGCTACGAAGACGGGTTCGTGACAACGGAGTACAAATGAAGTAATACTCGACTTTCTATAACTAAGATTATAAACTATAACTAACTTAAAAACTAGGACAAAATAATGGAATGAGGATAGAATAGTACAGATAATTAGATATATAGAAAAGATAGAGTAGAGGGTACCCAGGATATTATATCGTTCTGATGTCTTCCAGTTGGGGGGGAAACTGTGTTCTAGTCCGCCGATATATATATTTCTTGACCAGAATATTCTCAATTCTTCTCTCGATTGGATAGACAATTCATCGTCCTTCTCTTCTTCGTAACGAATCTTGAACCTCGAACTCACCGTCCGCTCGCTCTGGAGTCCCCTCCAAGAATGACGCTTCTCCTCACCCCACATGCCTCGGGGTACTCTATTCTTCCGCCTCGTTCTCGGAACGGTGTTGCCCTCTCACCGAAAAGGAAGTGAAGAGTGGAAAGATCGAGAAGGAAAACAAAGAACACAAGATCGAATAATTAATATTAAGCTTACGACTAGCGCGTATATACAAAATTATGGCATCTTGCCACAATGGCACGCAAGCACATATAGCACGATTAAACAATCTTGCCAAATTTGTTCCTTGTGCCACGCATTCGCTTAATTTAATTGGAGTGCACGCAGCAGGCATTACGAGGGCAAGGTGAAAAGTTCTCGGCCTAACCCATAGATGGCGCTACTACAAATGAAAGTATCATCTGGTTATGTTTCCAAACTTGTTACAAAAGTAAATACCAAGTGTGAATTTGATCAGACAAATAGTTGTTTTTATACGGCTGTTTAAAGTAAGCATTGTGTGTGTTTTTGACAAAATGAATAAACTTGAATATCGTTCCGTCATAAAATTCTTTGTTTTGGATGGTTTATCGCCAACAGAAATTTATCCAAACTTGGTAAAAGTGTATAAGGAGTCTGCACCTTCGTTATCAACAGTAAAAAAATGGGTAGCGGAGTTTAAACGTGGTTGTACATCGATTGAAGATGATCCACGCGAAGAACGGCCAAAAACTGCAGTTACCGCAGAAAATATCGAGAAGATACACAATATGGTTCTAGATGATCGACGATTAAAGGTGTATGAGATAGCTAAGGCTGTAGGCATCTCAGAAGAAAGGGTAAGGCACATTTTACACGAAGAACTCAGTATGAGAAAGCTTTGCGCAAGATGGGTGCCGCATTTGTTAAATGCTGATCATAAACAAATCAGGAATCGACTTTCTCATCAATGTTTGCGCCGTTTTAAGAAGGATCCAACTGATTTTCTGCGCAGATTTGTTACGATGGATGAAACATGGGTTCACCACTTTACCCCTGAGTCAAAACAACAGTCCAAGCAGTGGGTAGAAGCTGGTGGCTCTGCACCGAAGAAAGCAAAGACAGGAAAGGTTATGGCTAGTGTTTTTTGGGATTCCAAAGGGATTCTTTTAATTGACTACCTGTCAAAGGGTCAAACAATTAATGGGGAATACTACGCACATCTTCTTGACCAGCTAGATGAAAAAAATTAGAGAGAAAAGGCCTGGTTTGCAAAAGAAAAAAATCCTCTTTCACCAGGACAATGCACCCGCTCACAAAGGTGCTTTGGCAATGGGAAAATTGAGGGATTGGAAGTATGAATTATTGGAACATCCTCCCTATTCGCCAGATTTGGCTCCCTCTGACTTTCATTTATTCCCAAATCTTAAAAAATTTTTGGCGGGAAAACATTTTGGATCAAGTGAAGAGGTGATAGCAGAGGTAAATGGATATTTTGAAGACCTTCCAGAATCGCACTTCAAGGATGGAATACTGTTGTTGGAGAAACGTTGGACAAAGTGTATTGAACTAAAGTGAGACTACATTGAGAAATAAATGCACTTTTAAAATAAAAAACTCATTTTTTCACTACTAGGCCGAGAACTTTTCACCTTGCCATTTTTTGGTTTCATTTTTTGGAATAATCCAGAAATTGTTTAATTAATTTTTTTGCTTCTTCTACCCGAAGATGGAGAAAATTACAACATTACTAAAGACAACATTAAAAAGACATAGCGACACGAGATGGTGCTCTAAATCACGTTCAGTAAGTCATTTAAAATATCAAATTAATGAAGTTATAAAGTCCTTAAAGAAATATCGGAAGATTCTTCATTTGGAGATGGTGTCGTTGATGATTTATATTGAATCATACAATTTTGTTTTTATGTTAATTATGTGGGAAAATATATATTAGAAATAATCAGTATGATATTATTATGTTAGAATGCAAACAAAAAT